TTGTAGTCTGTGGAGTTGAAGGTGTAAGTGGTCCCATTGGGATGGAGGAGAATCGTGAAGAATGCATTTTTGAGGTCAAGGATGGAGAAGTAAGTAGAGGAGGTGGGGATAGTGGATAATAAAGTATAGGGATTAGGGACTACTGGATGGATTGGAATAACAACTGCACTGGTAATTCTTAAATCTTGAACTAGCCTATAAGAGCTATTAGGTTTTTTGATAGCCAGTATCAGGGTGTTGTAAGGGGAATTGGCTTGTCTCAAAAGGCCCTTTCGTAGAAGGGGTATTGAGATTGTGAGGAGAAGAAGGTAGGGTCTTTGAGTTTGATGGTTACAGATGGGCAGGTGGCAATAGAGGAGGTAGAGGTGTCCCAGACTGTGGGGTTTACTTGGCAAGGGGGTAAGGGAAAAGGGGAGGGAAATGGGTCTGGAATGGTTTGGAGAGCAAGTAGAAAAGGGATCGAAGGCAAGTTGGGGTTGAGGCATGGGCCAAAGGTAAAGGAGATAAGAGCCCCTAGCTTGGATGAAAGGTCTCTCCTCATAAGGGGAATTGGGCAATGGGGAATCACTAAAAAGGAATGAGAGCAATGCCTCTAAAGATGCAGTGAAGCATGGGAGTTTGTAAAGGTTGATGAGATGTGCCCTCTACCCTGACTATAGAGGACTGTGAGAGGGAGGTAGGTCCCCAAAACTCTTTCAGGACTGAGTAGGTGGCCCCGGTGTCCGAAAGGAAAGAGATGGGCCTACCCGCTACCACAATGGTTACCCTGGGCTCCTGTACAGAGATGGTAGTGGTTTGGTGGAGGAGTCCCCGGCCCCCTCAATCATTAGTTACCAGACCCAGAAGGTCTATGTATGGAGTGTTAAAGCTGGATGACCTGGCACCTCTCGGTGTGCGAGGACAGTCAACAGCCCAGTGTCCCTCCTGATGGCACTTAGGGCATGGACCGAGGGGCTTCTGGGCAGGCTCTAGCCCAATGACCCATTTGACCACATTTGAAGCATGGACCAGGAGGTCCTCCTGGCTGCTTCTTAAGAAGTGAGGATACCCAAGCACCAGTGGTTAGGATAGGTTGAAAGGCCTTAGCCAGCATTTGATATTTTTGTTTATGGGCATTTTCATCTCTTCCATTATATACTTTGAAGGCCACTGCCAGGACTTCTGCCTGAGGAGTTAAGGGTCCCTTCTCCAGATGTTTAAGTTTAGCCTTAATGTCAGGGAAACTCCGGGTGAAGAAGTAGGTCATTAATAATTGTCTCTCATCTGGGCTCTCAGGGTCTAGGTTTGTATATTGTAAAAGAGCTTTGGTGAGACGGTCTAGGAACATAGAGGGATTCTCATTTTTTATCCTGAATAACCTCTTGGAGTTTTTCATAGTTAATGGCTTTATTGGCTGACTTCCCGAGACCCACCACAAGGCAGGTGATGAATTGATCTCGGCTGGTGACTCCCCCTCCCATATAGTCCCAATTAGGGTCTCAGTCAGGAACCGCCTCAGCACCAGTTGGATGAGCTGGAGTAGTTTGATGAACCTCATCGGCATGAGTTCTAGCCTGTTCCCAGACTCGCCTATGCTCCTCGGGGAAAAGTGTGTTGGATAGGATCATGTGAATATCATGAAAAGTAAGATCATATGACAGTTAGGTACTGGAACTCTTTTATGTAAGTAGCTGGGTTGGAGGTGAAAGAGCCTAATCTTTTCTCAATTTGAGATAGGTCAGAGAGAAAGGGACATGGACCCGGACGACGCCCTCTGTACTGGCTACTTCCCGTAGTGGGGCTAGGATCTGGGTTCAGGAGCAAGTGACTGGAGGGCTTGGCACAGGACTGGGTGAGGGAGGGGGAACTGGTTGTGGAGGAGAAGGTGCTGCAGCTCGTGCAACAGCACTAGGGGAGCTGGGAGGGTTGGGATTTTGATCTTACAGAGAAGGAGGTTGGGGCAGGAGATTAACTGGTAGTTGAGGGGGAGCTGTAGGGGTTTGAGATCAGTAGGGAGGAGGTTCATCAGCAGGGTCAAAGTCAGAGGATGTGGTGGGAATTGGTGGGTGGTGGGGTGAAATTTTTTAGAGCTAGGAGAAAATGTTTAGGATTGTAAGGGAGACAGAGCGGGATTGGTTCGGAGGTAGGAGAAAGCCTGGTTATATGGGATCTCTTTCCATTTGCCCGTGTGCTCACAGAAGTTGTATAAGCCATGGAGAATTTTAGGATCTAAAGAGCCATTGGGAGGCCATTTAGACTGATTGTCCAAGGAATATTGTGGCCAGTTCTCATTACAGTAGCGAATAAGATTAAAAGGTTTGAGGTCTAGAGTGAGGTGGAGGGGTTTTAGATTATTGAGTAAGCACCCTGGCGGTGAATCTGCGGGAATGAGGGGCCAGATCTCATGGTGAGAATGAGACCGTTCACAAGTCGCTGAGGCATCCCTGAGCAATTGAGAAGTCACGGAGATGACCAGACACAGTTACGGGGTCGTCACCACCTCTAACCGAGCACTTGAGGTGAAAATGCCAAGGAGGCTCGGTACCTGGTATCAGGAGTTTACCAGTAGATAAAGGGAGACCGGGTCTCAGTAAATGAGGATTCTCACCACAGGGAGGCAGAGAAGGGTCGACTATGGGGATCAACCATGACTCTGAAAGTTGTGTTTGGGGGTGCCCCTGTCCCAGAGGAGCCCTTGGGGGTGCCAGACACTCAAAGGTCACTTCCCAGGTTCCAAAGGGACATTTAAGTCGACGATGAAGGGGAGACTTACCAAATTGTAGGCTGGTATTGGGTGAGAAGATGATAACCAGGGAAATGGATGGTGAGCCCGTGGAGGAGGATTGCGCAGTGAGGGTTCCCAGAGCAGCTCAGATTCCCGGAGGAAGAAAAAAGTCAATGGGAGAACCTCGTCCGAAGTCACGGCACCAATGAAAGGGTATCTCGCCGCCACCCTCCTTACCCAGGATGACTCAGGAAACACGGGCTCACGCAAGAGATTTTATTACCTGAAAGAGAAAATGGCTGCCCCCAGAGAGAGGGAACAGCAGCTCGTGGGTGAGGAAGTGGGTTTTTAAGGAGTAGGGGTAGAGTGTGTTCTGCATTGGTGATTGGATCTTAAGGGGTGGGGGTCTTAGCGTGCCAGAATTTGCCTTCAGTAACAGTATATTTACCCTCCACGAGGACTCAGTGGTTTGGAACAGCTTGTTGATCACAATCAGGAAGCCCATTAGTTTATAGTATGGTATCCAGGTAACCTTTACAGAGATAGATTAAAATATACCTAGCATCCTGAATACACCTATAGTGACTTAACAGCTCCCACTGCAACGTTTCCTGGGTGCTGACTCCCCCTTAACCTTGTAGTGAATGTATAAAAGGCATGGCGCTGCTGTGATCTGGACTCAGCCTTTGGATAGGAATCCACTGAGCCAGTGCTGGCACTAATAAACGCTGCTTCTAGCCAAATGTTTTGGTGTCCTGACTCCTTTTGTTTGTGGTTCCTGCGGTTCCAGCAAACACTGCAGGTCAGCATGAGTTATATAATTTGCAAGGCCCAGAGCAAAATTAAAAGCAGCAGCCACTTGTTCAAAAAGTATTAAGAATTTCAAGACAGCAACAGGAAAGCATTACATCGGGTGTCAGGTCTTCTGACCACAAAGTCCTTTGGCGCTACCGCACAGGTCACGTGCCCATAAAGCCAACCCTAAATGTGAAACAGGATTCTATGACAAATTAGAGACTAATCAACTTTGTTTTCTTAGTATATGTTGTGATGTTGCCGGGCCCTTCAGCCTGTCGTTATTCCACTGGTACATTGGCATGCACATAATTAAATTACATTTTAAAAGTTTCGAGGCATTGAGTATATTTGTGTATATTTTTTGCTGCAGGGAATCTTTGCTAAAGTTTAGTGTAAGTGCTTAAGCACATAAATACTTAATCTAACTTTTAAAAAAACATATTATAAAAGGTGAAAATTGCAATTGTTTGCTTTTCCTTACAAGACTCAAGGGCAGGGAAAGGACTGGCAGGCAATCCATAAGTACTAGAATGAATGAGAGGAGTGTTCAATGGGTGGAACTTATAACAAAGGGAAACACCCAGAAAGGCTGAAGGGAGATGGTAAGCTGGGGTTCTGAACGCTGGAGGCTGGCCAGGAAGGGCGCTATAGACAAGAAATGCCTGCGAAAGCTAAGGGCTGTGAATAATTTAAAACGTCTGTTTATTATCATTACGTCCCAGCAGAACTAAAAGCCGCACAGAAGCAATAATTGCTTGTCTCTTCACGTCGCCAGTGCCTGGGACACTGTAAGCCTTCAGTACATGTTCACTGACTAAGGCGAGCCGCCCTCCTGGACCCGAGCACAACAAGCGGTGAAGGAGCAAGAGAGAAGCAGCAGCCAGCTGACCCACGTGTGGATGTGGCGGGCGGGTCCATGCTTGTTCCGTGTGGGTACAGCTGGCCCTCCGGTGGACGCGGGGGGAGTGTCAGGAACCACAGGGGAGGCCGTGGCACTTGTTAGGACAAGGGGACTGAAAACACGACTAAATGTAAACCAGAGCAGCAACTTTTGGATTGACGATAACTGTTCCTTCATCCGTGTACCCTTAACTGCCCGGAGAACTTTGGGGGCAAACATACACGTTTAGTAACATTCCGAGCAGTTCCAGGCAGGTGTGCGGGGTGGCCCACCAGAGTGCCCGCCGCGCGTCCACCGGTCCAGCTAGCGGCCTCTCAGCGACAGGTCTCGGCCCCAATCCACCGCACTGAGCTCCGCGTTGCCGCACCGCAGAAACACCGCTGAGCGAGCGTATGTGTAGCCGAGAATAGCAAAGTTGAGCGTGTTCTAATGGGTCCTTGGCCTCGGGGCCTCTTGGGGAAGCCTGCACAGAAGGCCCCTCGGAACTTGCCGCCGCTCTCCAAGTCCGCTCCGTGTTCTCAGTGGTTTCTTTCCCCGCTCTCGGCCGATGGGAGGGAAGGGCGAGACGAGCTCCAGGCCGAGCAGGAGAGGCGCGTTGCGGCGACCGCGGGCCCGGCGATCACCGCGGGCAGCCCCGGCGAGGCCCCCGCCCAGCGCCGCCCGCCAAGCCCCCAGCTGCCGGTGGCGCCATGAGGCCCAAGCCGCAACGGTTCGTGGACAACAAGCTGAAGCAACGCGTGCTGCAGGTGCGTGTTTTCTCGGTCGCGTTGCGGGTGTCGGCGGAGCCCAGGACGTCGGGGTGGTTTACCTCGCTGCGGGTTGGAGGACGGTGGAGACGGCCTTGAGCGAAACCTCCCCGTCCGTGTAAGGGAAGACAGAACCGGCCTTAAGCGTCCACGTGGTGCGACGTGAGTTGGGGGCCATGAAAGTGTCGTTCCTGTCCAGTCTCGAGACACTTGGGGTTGGCTGAGCCAGTAAAAAGTAGGCAATGTGGGTCTGACATTAGGACGGGCACCTTACCTGCGGTTTTCATTTCATGGTACAAAGCAACATGTGGTAAACGCCTTGGAATGGAATAGTCAGCAAGCAACCTTAGCAGGAGGGAGAGCTTTTTCTTCACAGTGGACTTTAGGAGCTGTACGCTCTCCTTGTTGCTCTTCTACCTCACCGGCTATGCAGTCTCTTGTTTGCATCCCTCTCTACCAGTCTTATCTAAATCTTGGAAGCACCCTGAACCTCGCCCGCACCGCTTACCGTTTCTTTTTCCGCATACTCCTCTCTATCCACACGTCTTAGATGATCTCACCCGGTCTTATACCTTTAAATACTATCTATACATTCACGACTCCTAAATTTATAATTAAAGGGCAGATTTTAAATTGAAATTCAGATTAATATTTCCGACTGCCTACTCAACATCTGCTGTGTCTGATAGGTGTCTTAACATATCCAGACTGAGTATTTAATCATCTACAAACCTGGCCTTTTTAAATGTTGTCTCTCATTAAATGATACTACTCTTAGGGGAGCATTGTGTATTTTCCTCGGTCCTTTGTACCCGCCGCAACAAAGAGTTGAAGGGCAGAGACACAGTAGTGAAGCAGAGTAAGAGTTTTATTTAAAGTTACTTAAAGAGAGAAAAAGTACAGGCCACCTCAGCAAGGAGAATCAACTGCAGTAAAAGACTGCATGCAGCGTGAGTCGGGAGAAGGGGACAGTGAATCAGAGCATCCAGCTTTGGATACCTAATCTCTCGTCATTGGTATTTATGCAGAACCTCTGTTAGGGATTCTTGAGAATTGCTGAATGAAGTAGGGGGAAGCTGGACTGGATAACTAGCAAGTATTGACACCTGAAAGTTGATAGTCATTCCAGGTTTGAAGTCTGGCCCTGTTACCTGTGTGCTGCTGAGCAAATAACCTTTTAAAGCCTCATTTAAACTTCCTGTTCTGTAGAGTGAGGGAGACTTCATCGGACTGTGAGTACTAAAATGGATAATGTGCAAAAGGCCCCCAGAACAGGGTCACAGGGCTTTGTTTCTCAGTAGTTATTATTTTTTTCTTTTAAATTAAAGTATTGTTGATATTACAGTCTTATGATGGTTTCACATACACAAAACTGCATCACCCATATTATCAAGATCTCACCCCCTCCATTGCAGTCACTGCCTGTCAATGTAGTAAGATGTTAGAGTCATTACTTATATACTCCATGCTGTACTACTGTCCTGTGACCTACCTATATAGTGATTGAGAATTAAAGTGCCCCATAATCCCTCCCCAACACTTCCGCTTTGGTAACCACTAGTCCCTTCTCAGTGTCTATAAGTCTACTGCTTCTTTTGTTCCTTCTTTTTAGCTTTGTTTTTATACTCCTCTCACAGTAGTTTTTTCATGGTACCCTCAGGTCTAAAATAGTAAGTTAGGTTCAGCAGTTTAGTAACTATTTAGTCCCAATAACTTAGTAGCTTTTTGAAAACATAATATATAAAAATGGAAGAAAACTTAATATATTTGTATTTTATTCTTAAATAACCAACTACTTGCCAGTGGGATTTGTGTGCCTGCTGGGGGCACTGTACAACTTGTCACACCTTGCAGTCTGACCCTGCCACTCTCATTTCCTGTCCTACATTGACTTGTGCGTGGGATTTGCTTTTTATTACAGCAACTGCTGAAAACAAAGTTTACAGAGATAAGACATCATCAAAAGGTGACATTGAAACCATGAATTGTCTCAGGCTTAGTAGTTCCTGCAGTGTGGGACAGATGTCAGGTGTTACTTTATGTTCCCTCAAATTTAAAAATCTCATGGTGCCCTTGTGAGTTTAATGCTTTGTTCTGGGGTGTTTGGGAACCTAAGATACAGTAAGCCCTCATTTACTGTCTTATAGCTAGTGTAATAGTCTGTTAGTTGTATTTCATAGTGATTAGTAATAATTGAATTCTGATTCTAGACTTGATAATTATTTGGTGGTTTTGTTTATGTTTCTGGTATACATTATTAAGAGTTTACATTAACATATAGTATGCTTGAATAGTTGAATCTCCTATTTGTTGATTAAAATCACTGAGTTTGAAGTATTGAGTATTTTATATGTATCATTTTCTCTTTTAGTACCTTACCAGTAACAGATGTGGCAAATATGTGGACATTGGAGTTTTAGCATCTGATTTACAAAGAATGTACAGGTAAAAAGAAATGTAGTCTCCAGCTTCTTGCTTTTCTTTCCTACCATTTTTAAAGTTTCCATCCTGCCCAAATTTCCAGTTTATATTAATAGCTGCTGGCATTACTTCTCCAGTCCATGAGTGTGGGATTCACTTCTCTTATCTGTTTATCAAGTACCTGTTATATCGAAGAGCTATCCTTGTTACCAAGGGGAATGGCTACTCCTTTTCTTTCAGTGTCTTACATTCTGGTTAGGCGTAGTCTTTCCCTGCTTCATTAAAAAATTAAAACCATCAGATGCAATCTCCCTCAGCTTCCTGACTTGTTATCTGGAATTGCGTCACTCCTTTAGACTTTTCTCTAAAGGTGATATCTTTCTCTTGTGCTTCTAAATACTACCTTTTCTAATATCTTGCTTAATCAAATTATCTCTACTTTGTATGTTTCATTGTGTCTGTTTTCTTTTTCTCCTTGGTCTGTATTTTAGTTTGCTAGGGCTGCCATGGAAAGGTATCCCAGACTGGGTGGCTTAAACAACAAAAATTTAATTCCTTGCAGTTGTGGACACTAAACATGCAGGGTCAGGACACCAACAGGATTGGGCTCTTGCGGGTCCCCTTGGCTTGCAGATGGTTCTTATCCTGACCTCACAGGGAGTCCTCTATGCCAAAACGTCTGTATTCTGAGCTCCTCTTACAGACACAAGTCACACTGGATCAGGACCTACCCATATGATCTCAGTTTACCTTAATCACTCTTTTAAAGGCCCATCTCCAGATACAGTCACATTCTGAGTTGCTTGTGGTTAGGGTGTTCAGCATAGGAATTTTGGATGACACAGTTTGGCTCATAAAATGGCCCTCTTGCTCCCCACTACCCCAAATTCATTTCCTCCTCGCTTACAAGTGCACTCACTATCAGGTAGCCCCAGACATCCTCACCCTTTCAGTATCATCAACTCTAAATCCAAACTCTCATCCAAATATCGTCCAACTCAGGTGTTGGTGTGATTGGAGGAATGTTTCTTCTTGAGGCAGAGTTCCTCTCCAGCTATGACCTTATGAAACCAGGCAACGAGTTAATCTGCTTCCAAAATGCAGTGGCAGGACAGATACACATTCTGGGAGAAATCAGAAAGAAACAGTCATGATCTCAAGCAGGTCTGAAGCCTAGCAGGGCAAATTCCAGTGGACTTGAAGAGAGTCATGTGGCTCATGCTATGTCCTGTGGCCTCTCTGGGACCACTCCCCTGCCCCTTTGGCTTGAGGGGCCAGCATCTGTGTGGGGTTGGTGCCCCTACACCTGCGGCAGCAGAGGCAATCCTGCAGCGCTGATGCTCCTCGAGAGTCGGCCTTCCCTTTCTTTAGACGGTGTCCCACGTTCACAGCTGGGTAGCGCTCTGGCCCATCCTTCAGAATCCCACACTCCCAGCAGCCTCCCTTCATCCCATCCTGCTTCTGCTGCCTTCAGCACAGGCTGCAGTGCTTTTCATGCCATAACCCCACCTCTAACCTAGAAAATTACAATAGTAAAACTATAAACTCAGAAGTTGTTTGAAAACAGGTCTATAGTTAATGTGAACACAGTGATACACAACATATTTGCACAAATTTATGTGATCAATTTAAATTGGGCTATTTTAATAGATAGTGTTGGAGATCACTGCACTGAACTTCTTATTAATGTTTTTCAGTATAGACTATGGTCGGAGAAAAAGAAATGCTTTTAGGATTCAGGTAGAAAAAGGTGAGTCTTTGGTGTTAAAACTAAATTATTAATAAAGTTATACAAAGAACTGTTTTAACTCATGGCATTTTTCTTTTTGTTTCAGTATTTAGTGTAATTAGTAGTGAGAAGGAACTTAAAGACCTAACGGAATTAGAAGATGAACATCTGGCAAAAAGGGCAAGACAAGGTGAAGAGGATAATGAGTAAGGATTGCAGAATGTAGGGGTTTTTCCTACAGCATGAACCTGGTCACACTGCACTTCTACTTGTAGAAATTCCAGTGGCTTAATTGCCAGTAAGGCCTTGTGTAAGCTAGCTAACCTTCCCAGACCTTGGACATAGCAAGTGCTTGCTATTCCCCAGCAAGGACCGATTCTCTCTTTCTTCATCTGTTTGGGTAATTTTCTGTGGCTGAAGTGTTCATCCCCTTCATAAACTGCTTGGCTTCAGGATTCAGCCTTCAAAGGGCCTTTGTCAGGCCTTCTTAGACTCCTTTCTTGGTGTTAACTTAGTTGGTAGTTGTAGATATTTATGATAATACTTATGTCATAGGGCATTGAGATGATTTGTTTACTTGTTTGCATTACTAACAGAATTGTCTCAGTATCTTTGTTTTTCTCTTCTCAGTACAATGCCATATATATGAAAAGATGACCAGTAATTTCATTTAAGAAATAATTTTACTTCTTAATATTAAGAAATAGGTGAAGGGAATTGAGAGGTACAAACTCCGAGTTAGAAAATAAGTCAAGGGATGAGAAGTACAGCACAGGGAATATTGTCATGAATATTGTAATGACTTTGCATGGTGATGGATGCTAATCTATACTTACTGTGGTGGGCATTTGGTAATGTAGATAAATATCAGTCACTGTATTGTATGCCTGAAACTAATATAATGTATATCAACTATATTTAAAATTAAAAAAACAAAACAAAACTGCTGAAACTAGATAAAAGGTATAAAGGAGTTCCTTTACTATTTCAACATTTCTATATTATTGACACTATAATACAATAAGACAGTTCTGTGAGTCAAAAAAGAGAATAATACGAGTTTTTTATAACTTCATTGCAGTATAATTGACATACAAAGTATAGTTTGTTCAGTTTTGACATATGCATATACTCATTAAACTATCACCATAAGCAAGATACTGAACACTTCCATCAACCCCACACGTTTTCTTCTGCTTCTCTGCAGTTTATTTCTCCCTCTACCCCGTTCCCAGATCGCTATTGATCTGCTTTCTGTCACTATATGTTTGTATTTTCTATAGTTTTATATAAATGGACTCAATACAGTATATACTTTAAAAATCTTGATTTTTCCACTGAGCATGATGATTTTGAGATTTATCAATGTTGTATGTATAAATATTTCATTGCTTTTTGTTGCTTACTATGTATGGATATCCCATATATTTTTTTTTATTCATTTATCTGTTGATGGACCGTTGGGTTGTTTCTACTTTACGGCTATTACAAACAGCTGCTACAAACACGTGCAGGGCTTCTTGTGGGCAGTGTTTTCATTTTTTGGATAAATATCTAGAGTGAAATAGCCGAGTCATGGTAACTGCATATTTAACTTTATAAGAAACTGCCAGACTTTTCCAAAGTGCTGCAGCATTTCACCTTTACATTAGCACTACGTGGGAAATCCATCCATTCCACATAGTACCACACAGTATGTTAGTCTTTAATTTTAGGTAGGCTTTCCTGTAAGTATGGTGTTAGCTGGTAGGCCTTTTTTATAGATGCTTTTTTTCAGACTGAAGAAGTTTCCTAATATTACTAGTTTGCTGAGCTTTATAATGAATAGGTAACATTTGTCAAATGCTTTTTATGCATTTATTGAAAAGATTTTATTAAGACCTGCTTCCTTTATTCTATTAAATTGGTGAATTACATTGATTTTTGAGTGTTATGCCAACCTTGCATTTGCTGGGATAAACCCTACTTGTTCCAGACTTGTTAACCTTTCTGTAAACTGTTATACTCCATTTGCTAATCTTTTTCTATAGATGTTGGCATCTACATTCATACTGGTCTGAATTTCTTTTTTTACAGTGTCTGTCAGGTTTTGGTGTTGGGTATTAGGGTTATACTGGCTTTGTAATACTAATTGGAAAGTGTTTTTTTGTCTCTGTTTTATGAAAAAGTTTCTGTAGTGTCACTGTTATTTCCTTCTTGAATGTCCTGCCTGTTAGGACTCACCCAGAATTCATCAAGGCCTAGAGTCTTCTTTTTGGAAAAGATTTTAATACTTAATTTTTCTTGATACAGGGCTCTTTTTATTTTGTTTTGTTTATTATGTCATTGGTAAATTGCACTTTTAAAGAAACCTGTCCATTTCATCTAAGGTGTGGAATTTGTTGGTGTAAAGTTTTCAAAATATTCTTTTGTTTTCCTTTCTTGTGTCTTATAGGATCTATGGTGATAGCTCCTCTTCATTGTTTATGGCTGCTGGTTTTTCATTGAGATTTACCATAATTTTATTAACTAGTGCCATATTCATGGACATTTGGTTGTTTCCAGTTTTGTACTACTGTATGTGGAATAATCTTTCAGTATATGTATCTTTGTGCACATTTCTGTTTTTTTTTTTAATGTTGAATTCCTGAAGTGATATTTTTGGGATCAAACAGATTTGTATTTTTGGTATTTCTGGTATATTTAAAGTTGTCCTTCAAAAAAAGTTGCCCCCAAGAAATATGAGTAAAGTTCATTTCTCTGCATCTTTGTTATCCTAGATATACTATTATTTAATCTTTGCCAGTTTTTAAGGCAAAGATTGATTATATTTCTTTATTTGTAATTTTTTGATAACTAGTAAAGTTAAATTTTTTAACTTTCACGTTTCCTTTGTGAATTGCTTGCTTATGGGTTTTATCTTTCATTTGAGAGGTATTGGAATTTTCCTTATTAGTTGTCAGAGCTCTTTGTATAAAATAGTACCTCAGTGTGTTGCAAATGCTTGTCCCATTTAACTATTTGCCTTTTTGTTTATAGTCATTTTTTTTTTTTTTTGAGAGGGCATCTCTCATATTTATTGATCAAATGGTTGTTAACAACAATAAAATTCAGTATAGGGGGTCAATGCTCAATGTAAAATCATTAATCCATCTCAAGCCTAATTCTCGTCAGTCTCCAATCTTCTGAAGCATAACGAACAAGTTCTTACATGGTGAACGAATTCTTACAGAGTGAATAAATTCTTACATGGTGAACAGTACAAGGGCATTCATCACAGAAACTTTCGGTTTTGATCATGCAATATGACCTATAAACCATCAGGTCAAATATGAATATTCATTTGATTTTTGTACTTGATTTATATGTTGATCCCACATTTCTCCTATTATTATTATTATTTTTATTTTTAATAAAATGCTGAAGTGGTAGGTAGATGCAAGATAAAGGTAGAAAACATAGTTTAGTGCTGTAAGAAGGCAAATGTAGATGATCAGATGATCAGGTGTGTGCCTATGGACTAAGTATTAATCCAGGCTAGACAAGGGCAGCAAGACATCCACGGATGCAGAAGATTTCTCTCAAAGCAGGGGGGGTGAGGTTCTGAGCCTCACCTCTGTTGATCCCCAAATTCTCACCTGATGGCCCCCCTGCGACTGTGCCTGTCTTAGGTTGTTCCTCCCTTGAGGAATCTTACCCGTCTCTGGCTAACCAGTCATCTTCCGGGGCCATACAGGGAAATGTAAAGTTGGTAAGTGAGAGAGAAGCCATATTGTTTGCAAAGGTTAGCTTTTTACTTCTTTGCAGATTTATGCCCTGTGGCTTCTATGCCCAGCACTTGTCTCGAGGTATCTTTACCACCTGGAGGAATTATGATACTCGGTAAATTCGATATGAGGCACGAATTCTATTTAAGGTTTGTAATTAGGAAGGAAGAAGAAAAGCTATAGATGTAGCATATGAAGGAAACTTGGGAGGATTGATTATTTCTTTGACATATCTTCTTGTATAGTACCTTAAGTATGTATAGGTTTTAAACTACTAACTAATTTGCACACACATATTAACATAATAGGAATACGGTGACATAAACAAAGCAAATCTATAATTACCAGCCATCTCCAGTGAAGCCAAGAAAACCATTTAGGCACCCTAGGCATTTGTGAAAATTTATCTATGATATGATGGATATTTTCCAACTGTACTTGAACCATCAGACAAATTAAAGCAGCCCATTTCTGGGATCTGTTCACATCCCATATGTTCTTTTAACCATAGATAGTCTATAGTCATGAGATTTTGGGGTGCTACAACTTGCACCCCTCCCAACTCCTGGTTGAGTTCCAACAGTACAGATCCAGTCAAATTCGTTGTCTCACTGTATGCACATGCCAGCCTAGACATCTCCCTCCTCCTTCTTATGGCAAGTCCAGGAGATGGTGGGCTGGATGCAGCCACAACCGCAGCATCGTCCGGATCCCTGTGGAGGCTTTTTGATGATCATCCCCCGGCACGAGTCCTCCAGAGAGTGCTGATGCCGGAAGCTCCTCCTCATATCGTATCTTAGTTCATTTTCTGGGTATCCAAGCTAGGCCTTGATCTTCTGCGTAGAAACAAACAGACCCTTTGCCCACACTTTGACATGCCCTCTATACCACTGTGCAGAACTCATTGGAGGTCAGCACACAGTAACTTTTTTTTTTTTTTTTTTTAATTAAGAGAAAGGAATATTATCAGAAAAGAGTACCTCCATAGCTGATCATCTGACACCCTTTAAGTGATCAACATTAAGGATATTTAAAGCATGCGTTGATCTTTGATTTACCAATAGTTTTATCCTGTTAAGGAGTAATCCCCCTTTTCTTTCTTTTTTTTTTTTTTTTTTTTTTTAAATTTTTAATCTACACTTACCTGAAGAATACTATGTTTACTATGCTCTCCCCTATATCAGGTCCCCCCTAACAACCACATTACGGTTACTGTCCATCAGCTTAGCAAAATGTTGTAGAGTCACTACTTGTCCTCTCTGTGTTGTGCAGCCCACCCTCCCCTTTCTCCCTCCCCCCCATGCATGCTAATCTTAATACCCCCCTTCTTCTTCCCCCCCCTTATCCCTCCCTGCCCACCCATCCTCCCCAGTTCCTTTCCCTTTGGTACCTGTTAGTCCATTTTTGGGTTCTGTAATTCTGCTGCTGTTTTGTTCCTTCAGTTTTTCCTTTGTTCCTAT